ATAGTGCTGAACTGCTATAGACTGCCGCTACACAATCACAAACAAAATAATTTCCGAAATAACCCCCCCCCCAAAAAAAAAAATTAATTATTTGGACTCCGACAAAAGCAGCAGTGTTTGGTACATGTGACTGGAATAGAGAATAACGAAAATCACCAATAAAAACAAAACGTTTGGATCGAAACTTGTAGTAGTACTAGAAAGAGCTATAACATTTAGTGGATATGAGAAATGTAATTTCTTAAAAGCCTCTTTTAATAATAAAAAAAGATTTGAATTTCAACTGAATGTATTACCTTTTCGTCTATTGATAGCGATTTTTTCTTGTTGGAAACTATAATTACCAATATATATATACTAACTTGTTTGTAGTCAACTTATTTCAAACTGAGTTCTGATATATCAACAGGCGGAAGGGATTATGTTATATTCCGTACCTATGAACACTAATGTGCTTGTCCCAATCCTCATCAATACGTTGGACAGTATTGTAAGTGGGATTAATATGATAAGTAGTCCACCATTAGCAGTGGTTTACCTACTTCACGACGCTGGCGAGTATTGTATTTTATTGATGTTATAAAGATTACATTTTCAGTCCCAACCTCCGTTTCGGTTATTTTTTATTCAGTAACCCTTTCTAGGTTACAACAGATTATTAAAAACATTCGTTTCCAATTTGAGTAATAATTCTGGAAGCGTAGAGTCGGATACATGTCTCTAAGATCGAAAAATGTAACTTCCATTAAAAATTGAAAACCTGGTAGCGGGTCGAGTGAAACTAGAAAAACAAGCTAAGAAGAATAAGAATAATTCTTGTAATAACGTCACAACATATCCAGTAAATATGGAACTCACTATTCATTCGTATTCTTCTGCGAAATTCACTTGCTTTCTTTCGACAGTACATATCTATCTATCTATCTATCTATCTATCTATCTATCTATCTATCTATCTATCTATCTATCTATCTCAGTCTGTTCATATCTATCTATCTATCTATCTATCTATCTATCTATCTCAGTCTGTTCATATCTATCTATCTCAGTCTATTCTATCTATCTATCTATCTATCTATCTATCTCAGTCTGTTCTATCTATCTATCTATCTATCTATCTATCTATCATCTATCTATCTATCTCAGTCTGTTCATATCTATCTATCTATCTATCTATCTATCTATCTATCTATCTATCTATCTATGTCCATATCTATTATTCATTAGTAGAGATAAGCAAATAGATTAATTATTATTCTAAGACTGAAAACCTAACTCTCCTTAAAAACTGGGAGAGGAAAATACACACACACATGCGCCCCCACCCATATATATATATATTATTATTAGTAGTAGTATTAGCCTTTACCACCAGAACACATCTAGTAAGGATAGAATTCATTATTCATGCATATTCGTCTGCGAAGCGTAGCTGATTTCATGCGTCATTGCACATCTATCTATCTATCTATCTATCTATCTATCTATCTATCTATCTATCTATCTATCTATCTATCTTAGCTAAATAGGTACAAAATATGTTTTAACTGTATATATATATATATATATATATATATATATATATATATATATATATATGGCTGTACGTGTAGAATGTTGTTCCAATTGTATTCCCAAAACAAAATAAAAAAAACAAAAGCCGTAAGATATACAAGCACCAAACGAATCAGAAAAAGGCACAAAATATAGGGCGTTTATTTACATACGGCTATTTTAGTGCCTTCAGGAATACGCTTTGCTCAGACCATTTCTGAATAATCGACATTATTTCTATTCGATGTAAACATGAATAAGCCATGAATATGCTAAATGATAAGCCTGCCTCAGATCGACGGGTCAAATACTGATAAATCAAATGTCATTTTGGGACTTTATTATGCCATTTTCCTGTAAAATTACTGCAGATATTTTCCATTCAAATCTTTCTGCTATTTCCATATTTTCAATTTTCAATACGCTACATTATACGTATTTAACCACTTACAACTGCTGAGCTTATTTTTTGACACAAAATTGTTTCCGGTGACACAAAATTGTTTCCGGTGATATACAATTTTTTCCGCTGATACAAAATTGTTTTTAGAATTACAAAATTGTTTCTAGTGATACAAATTTATTTTTGGTTATAAAAAATTGTTTTCGGTGATACCAAATTGTTTCCGGTGACACAAAATTCTTTCCGCTGATACAAAATTGTTTTTGGAAATACAAAATTGTTTCCAGTGATACAAATTTATTTTTGGTGATAAAAATTGTTTTCGGTGATACAAAATTGTTTCCGGCGACACAAAATTGTTTCCGGTGATATAAAATTCTTTCCGCTGATGCAAAATTGTTTTTGGAAATACAAAATTGTTTCCAGTGATACAAATTTATTTTTGGTGATAAAAAATTATTTTCGGTGATACAAAATTGTTTCCGGCGACACAAAATTGTTTCCGGTGATATAAAATTCTTTCCGCTGATACAAAATTGTTTTTGGAAATACAAAATTGTTTCCAGCGATAAAAAGTTATTTTTTGTGATAAAAAATTGTTTTCGGTGATACAAAATTGTTTTCGGTGATACAGTACAGTCAAGCATTTTTAGTTGGTTTTAATCATTAGAAAACAAAATAATTATGCAACGTACGCACGTATACATGCGAAGAAACAAAATCAGTGTCTGCGTATATTCACCTAATAAATATACAAGGTGAATTTCAGCTTACCTTTTTTTATTAGAAATATTTACGTTAACTTATTGTATGACGTGAAATTGTATTATAAAACCTGCTTGTTCACTTTGTAAATAGAAATAATAGTATAGATGCCGCCATTTATTTTTGAATAAATTTACCGGATAAAGGTTATGATAGGCCTTTGTAAATAAATAATCTGAAAATACGAAGCTGATACTGTAACATTATTTAGTCAAAGGAATATACTGGGTGTGTCAAAATATTTTACAAAATTTGGGGCGGGTTTCTCACACTAAAACAAGAGCAAAAGTATTTATAAACATCCGCATATATTTCGTTTCAGAGTTAAGTTTAAAAAAGTTTACGGTAGATGGCGCTTTGTTGCTATGTGGACTAGGTTACATTTGTTATTCATGTACATTTATGTTTAGTCTGTCTTCAACGTTTAACACGTGTAGTAGTAGGTTAACTGAGAAGTGTTCCGTTTAACAACGGCAGGATCTTCATCTCGTGAGCAGGCATATATGATTTTTACATACGATCGCGCGAATGGTAATGGACGCGAGGCTACACGGCTGTATCAGATTACGTTTGCAGACTCAAGGCAGCCGAGTCATCCAACCTTTGCTGGTGTTTATCGTCGCGTTGCTGAGACCAGATCCGAGGCAGCATAAACTATGAACCGAGGAAGATCGATTGTACATTTAACAGCGTCTGCTGTAATATTTAAACTTAATAACTCAAAAACGAAAGATTTGTGGCTATATGTTTTTTCATTGTTTTGGTATGGGGAATCCGACCCCAAAGTTTGTAAAAATATTTTGTATTTTTGATATATATATATATATATATATATATATATATATATATATATATATATATATATATATATATATACGTTGGTATAACCCAGCCGAGTCCTATTAACACAATATAGAATTTGAAATATGTTAAACTGACTCACAAAAGAACGGTCTATGTTTATTCACAATAAACAGAGCAAATTTATTTTACAAGTGGAATTACGATACCTTTAGTAAATTTACTAAAGGTAACGAATTGTAAAGTATATACACTTGGAGTAATGGATTGGGGCTCGAATTGAGGAATCGGAGTGCCGAGTTCGAATTCAAGTCGAATTCATTATATTCACTTGGGAAAAATATGAATCCATCTTTTCATCAGGACAGATTGGGTGCAAGGAAACGGAAAACTCTGAATTCAAACCAGCTTGGGACCTGAGGACAGTTATAACTCAGTACTTTCTGGGATCCCCTACAACCTGCTTTCTCGCCCCAGGTGTAACACACAGTCCCAGCGAAAAATCATTACAGCCATACCAACCTGCGCAAGGCACCTACCTAACACTACTAGGTTGGGATATTGATATAATTAATAGCAAAATAATAATTTATTGATTATTGCATTAATTAAATAAATGTTTCTGTAGATATGTTTGTAAATAAGAATTCCAGCAGAACTTTCTTTAATAAAAACTAACAGAATAAGTTATTATCAATATTTTTTATAAGGATACATATAAACTGAAACTTCCCTGATATATTGCTCACATAAATATAAGTGTAGTCTGAAAACTGCTATCATCCCTTAGTTTATTTTGAAAACATTGATTAGCATAAAAGAAAGATATATTTCTAAGAAATTAATGGGTGTTATTTATAATCTCATATTATTTCTTTAAACTGTAAATTTACATCTTCATTCATTCATTCAACTAACTATACTTTCATATCTGAAATAGAAAGAAAGTAATATTTAAATAATTAATGGGTTTTATTTATAATCCGACATTATTTATTCTTGCTGTAAGCGTTATATTTACTGGATACACGTATTGAATTAGACATCACTGTTTTTTAAACAGTGTAAAGAAACGTCTACCGGCATGTGCATTCGAGAGTCTTAATAAAAAAAGTGCGCCTTCTGGCAGGTTTCAAAACTGTGCCACTCTTGCAAAGAAAACTACAGTCTGGCCTAATAAGCATTTGACCGTTTTAGCCATGTAAAGATTTCAAAGCCCAGCAAAAGATCCATTTACTCCTTTAAGAAATGCGCATCTCTTGTTAGGTTTGCTCGTAGCCCATACGTGCTAACTATATTTTCGCATCTGAAACATAAGTAATTTCTAAAGAATTAATAGATTTTATTTATACTCCGACATTATTTATTATTCCTTTGAGAGTAAATTTATTCAAAAAAAGAAAAAAAAAAAAAAAAAAAGACAGGGACGTCTACTCAAATAACGTTTAAAACAAATAGAAATCTTTGCAATATGCGAATGTTGCTCCGAAAGTAAAGTGCACCTAACTTATTATTTTGACTCATGATGTCAAAGGTGGATTTTAGAGATTTGGATGTAGAGCTTGAACATTTCCGGCAGTAATCCATAATTTTTGGCCTCGTTTTAGCTATCACCCTGGCAAAATGGCATTTGACATGAAAGTGCGGGCGTAGCATCTGCATGTCATTTAAATTCTCTGTAGAGAAAAATGTATCTACTAATATTCATCGACTCTTGCTAAACGTTTACGGAGACTAAAACAATGGTTGTGAGCACTGGTAATTGGTGGTTAATACCTTTCAGCAATTGCAACATACTCTGTGTGACGAGCCACATTTCAGGTGGTCTTTCACAGTAGCCAACAGAGAAAATGAAATACGCATTGCCAATGCACAGATTAATTGGTTGATTAGCTTTTTATGGGTTATCAAGCCCTGGTGGGTTATTTAAAGCCGAAACATATTTTTGATTGTAAGAATAATTTTTTGCCAATAAATACTAGATTAAGAATTTTTTTTTGAGAATAACAATGATTTTTTTCAGATACTATTTAACCTATAGCTGGGGAGAGAAGAGATGGATTCATAACTTTCGTAATGGTATTTGCACGTAAGCCAATGTAACGAACCCGACTGTTGCTAATACATTGACAATGGTGATAGCTGTGTAGAAAAAGAGTGTTTTCAAAGCTGTAAAATTGTTCTGTGAAAGAGTCATTGGGATATCAACATTAGATTACATGGAAAAAATCAAATTCTACGGCTGAGCATCTTCGTATCTTTAACGTTTCGATGTAACTGGGGTGTGTTGTATTTCTCCATTTCTATATTTAACAGATTAAATCAATAAAACGCTGACTAGTCAGAAGAAGTTCACTCTTCGAACGAAACGTATTAGTGATGTTTCCCATCAATTACCCCACTCTCTCAGTCTCTCTCTCTCTCAGTCTCACTCTCTCTCTATATATATATATATATATATATATATATATATATATATATATATATATATATATATACGAGTCTGTCTGAAAAGTAATGGGACTGGGTGTTCTGTGTGAGCTCCTGGGCGAAAGAGGGATAAGCGGATTGTGTCATCATCCAACATGATATCTTCGGAGTATATAACTGTAATCCTAGCGTTTGGTTCGCTTCAGTGCGCACGAAGAGACGAGTGTTGCGGCAGGTCAAATCGTGGACGCTTCACCACAATAATGCACCTGCAATCAACGCCCTGAGCATCCGGCATTTCCTGGCCGATAAGAACATTGCCGTACTGGAACAACCTCCCTATTCACCTGAGCTTGCTCCGTGTGACTTTTTTTTCCTTTCCCCTAGGAGATTATCAAGGGGACCCGTTTTGAAGGAGTGAAGGTCATCAAGAGAGCCGTAACAACGGAGCTAAGAGGAATCCAAGAAATAATCCTTCCAGTTAGTGCATAGAAGCGTTAAAACTGGATTAAACTCGAGGGGATTACTTTGAAGGGAAACCCTGTAGTTTGTTTTTTGGAACCGAAATAAATTGTTTGTGACACCAGTACTGTTAATTTTCCTGTCGCTGTACACTTCTACCAACCATTTCATAGCGTCGATGATATCAGATGTGTGCTTTTAGCGTTTGCATTCAACGGCCGACAAGAAAGATACAGATCGGAGTTGAGATATATTTTCAAGATAAAAACACACATTGAGGGATTAAACTGGGTTTGGGTTTACTGATAGAATATAATTTCCTCAGGGAGCCCTCAAGCCAACACCAACAATATTCATCGCATAGTGAATCCCACTTCTTTGTTTATTGCTCGTTTTGTTGATAAAGGATACAGGCGTCTCCGAAACCACGGATTTTAAAATATTTCTCTTAATGCTTCAATTTAGACAAATATAATAAATATCATCAGTTTTATTGCCAATATTGTTATCATTTATTGGTTTATTATTCCTCAAATTCTATTAGCCGCCCTATTAAATCTATCTATCTATCTATCTATCTATCTATCTATCTATCTATCTATATATATATATATATGTGATAAAATATAGTTTTAATGTATGCTACACTAATAGGTTAAAGGCTATAATATTAGGGACAGAGCTTATGTAATTATCAATGTGGACATTGAAGTCAACACCCAGAGGCGACGGTCTGATTCATGCAAAACGCAATCGATTGGGTGTTGACTTCAATGTCCACTTTTGACCCTTGTGGAGTGGACGTGATCCATGAAACTGCGTAGTAGTGTGATAAATAATAAAAAAATTCCCAAAAGGGACATCCATTTACAGTAAGTAATTTTTTTCTATTTTAGAAAGATTATATATATATATATAATATATATATATATATATATATATATATATATATAGTTGCCAGTTGGTTTGTGGATATGTTATGAATCCATTCAGTTTTTGTGTTTTTACTAAATCATCTCGTGTTGCTTTTAGTATATTCGTAAGTAAGCACGCTCAAAGTGCATGCAAATTTTATTTATTATGGCAAAAAAGAAAATGAACAAATATTCTTTATAACAAACAACGACGTTAGAAAGTCAATAAAAGTCTGAAACAAATACATACGTTAGATATGGCATATTGCTGTCAATAATAATAATAATAATAATAATAATAATAATAATAATGCTTCAGGTACATTAACAATATTGTACAAAGACAAAATCTATAAAGTCACGAACGTGGGAATATACATTTGCAAAAAAATGATATATGCAAAAATTTGAATAAATATCATAAAATACATGAATACAAATTTTACATTTTTTAGATTTAAGTATTTTTTACAACTGAATTTCACAGTTAATTTTTTTTCAGTAGTGACAGCTGTTAGCTTTAACGGCAAAAATGCATTAAACAATAATAACGCGTGCACAGTAAAGAAATAATAAAGACACCATTGTATTGCCGAGAAATTATTAAGGAACATTTATAAAAACGAAAGTAAACCTCGCTTCCTTATTGCACGCATGCGCAATAGTTTAATGCATGTCGATGAAGAAAAAGAAATGATTACAAGTATATTGACATTTCAGTGAATTTCAGTGAAATTAAAAGATGTTTAAAGTTTGTAGTTAATTGACGAAGACTGTTTAAATATTACGAGCTGTGATTGGCCAGGTCACGACAGTTTTAAAACAACTACGTAAAAAAAAATAACTTGTGGTAAGCACCATACACTCTACGGAAATCAACAGGACTTTCGCTCTTGTTGTAAATGCCGACGCAACATTTTCTTGTTTTTTTTTTTTTTCAGACGTCAAATTTTTCTGTTTTGTTGCCTAAACTGCCACGTTTTGATAACAAATGCAAAAATGTAGTTAAAATAATATATATATATATATATATATATATATATAGAAAGAGGGCGTGAGAAGTGATAAAAGGTAACAAAAAGAAATCCCCTAATAGTCAATATAGTCAATGAAAAATGTTTTAATTAAGGATTGTATTTTTTATCTTTATTAAAGCTTTTCTAAAGTATATGCCTAAAGGAATGTCCTACTGTCTGTTTACGTTGTTAATATTGTTTTTATAATAATAATAATAATAATAATAATAATAATAATAATAATAATTAACCTGAAAGAATGCATGATAGGACTGGAAAGTTCTTCTACTGAGAAATGTGCAAGCGATTCTGTTTTAACCCCGCATACTACTTTTATATGCATTTATTAGAATCTGTCCAAGAGAATGTAACAGAAAATCATGTGTAACTTTGGGATTCCAACGGATCTCGGAATCCTGGATAGATGACCGAATTTGGCATTATAAAGTAGACGAAATAAACAAAAAAAAAAAAAAAAAAAAACGAAAACAAAACAAAAAAAAACATGGCAGGTAATGGATATATCGTTGGTGTAGCTGACTACACAGAATATCTGAAAGAACGTGAAAAAGCAGATAAGTATGTAGACTTTGTCAGGGGGATGAAATATTAAAACATGAAGGCGCCAGTCATGTCAGTTGTTATCGGAGTACTTGGAACATTCGCAAAAAAAAAAATGCAGGGAAAAAGTATTAAAATTTAGGGACAATAAGGCGACAGAATTATAGAAAAAAAAGAAAATTCTGGAACATTGAAGAGACTTGTAACTTAAAAGACACCAGTAATAATTAATGTGAACGAGAAATAATGATAACACCAATTATAATAATAATAATAATAATAATAATAATAATTATAATAATAATAATAATAATAACACCATCAGAAGTTACCATCGTTGATAACGACACAACAAAATACTCCCTTTTTGACTTTACCTCGTGACCATAATATCAAACTGAAATAAATTGAAAAGTTCAAGAAATACATCCAACTCCAGATCGAAAGTGTCATGACAGACGTTCAGTCCACTATTTTCCTAGTTCCTGTTAGGGCATTGGGGTTTATACCATCGAACATACATCGAGAAAATCAGAATAAAACCTAATAGCTCGTCGCTTTAGAAGTCCCCGTTGCTTTGGTACTGCAAATATTCTGTGAAATGTAATATCTGTCTGAAGTCATATGACCTGATGGGGAACAACCATGAACTCCAATCTCCGATTGAAAACGACAACCATGCGAAAGTAATAATAATAATAATAATAATAATAATAATAATAATAATATGAAGATATTCAAAAAGCTGTCAAAATACAAGGACCTTGAAATAGAAATCTCAAAAATGTGACATATGGGAACATCAACAATCCTTGTTGTAGTTGGATCCCTAGGACTGGTTGGAAAAGATTGCAGTAGACTAATTGAAGAGATTCCTGGAAGTCCATGCCTTAAAGAGATACAAAAAAAAATGTTCTAACAAGTACAGCCCACACCTTACGAAAGGCCTTATCTATGTAATTTTTTTTTGTCAGTTGAAAGTGTAATGATGCTATTTCTAGTCTTAGGGCCCTGTGTAAACGCCAGAAATCAATAATAATAATAATAATAATAATAATAATAATAGATTCGAGAAAGAATTGAAGTAATTCAAGCCGCAACTGAACTGGGGTCTGCAAGGATATTGAGAAAAGGTTTTTGAGATTTGAAAACACTTCCTATAACCCAATCAGCAAAGAGAACAGATAGACACATTACGTGAAAATGTAGTTGCATGAGATATAAGACAATAACAAAATTAAAGTGGATTACCCAGACCAGTTCAGAAGGCAAGACCCAGTTATAGGAAACAAAGGAAGGAAGACATATCCGATAGTTGGTGTTACCTTTGCGGCAGACTAAAAAGGAATTCAAATATTAACCAAACTTTGACAGGGAAAATTGGAAGAAATTATAGTTTCTGAGGACGAAAAATGTCCTCAAATTTTTTTAGATGACTTGGAATAATTCGAAATTTCTTTGAAAAAATATTGCAAAAAAGGACTTCCTTGTGGAATTGCGACGAAGAATTTTAAACACTGAGATGAAAACATGGTTCATATCAATAAATATGCGTAAAGGTTGTACAGTGAATTTTAAACAAATGCTAAAATGTTTTTTAAGCGTAAGATCTTACGTCTAAAAAATAGATGACAACATTTGAAATAACTGTCCTTGAAATATTCCCGGAGCTGCCGGGTATTCGAAAAAAAAAAAAAAGTATTATAACGGTATTCTTAAAATGATTTAAAGGACACACAAATATATATATATATATATATATATATATATATATATATATATATATATATATATATATATAGTTGTGTGTGTGTGTGCCCTCGCGCAGTTGATATCTGCCTTCCAATGAATGAAAAAGAAAAAAGTATGTTATTGTTTAACATCTTCAGAAACCTACGATATTTCTTTTTTTTTTTTTTAGCTCACAAGAGAGGTGCTAATCCGGAGTTCCAATGTTCAGATAAAATGGGCTTGACACAAAAGCCCCAAACATATATATATATATATATATATATATATATATATATATATATATATATATATATATATATATGTGTGTGTGTGTGTGTGTGAAAAATATATAGAAAATAGGAAAGAACTCGTTAGGTAAATAATCCAAAGTTCTTCAGTATTTTGTTATTATTTTTTAAAAATAGTGCTCGATACAAAAGTAGAGCCTAAATATAATTATTTATGTAAAATATGATTCCATCGCTACATAAGAGTTCTCATGTTTCAAAAACAAGAGCCGAAAACAAGAACTTGGTACTTTAATTCAGTTTAATTCAAATAATTATATTGAATCATATTTTTAAATAATTATATATATATATATATATATATATATATATATATATATATATATATATATCTAGTAGCGAATCTATACATCGTATGTACATATAACTAGTGTTGGCACTAAAATCAACTCTGCATTTTTTTATGTAGAATATATATATATATATATATATATATATATATATATATATATTCTATATATAGAAATCATATTGGCGACTGGCAGTTTCACGCTTTACCGATCATCAGAAATTGTGGTATTTTGTGACTTCTACAAATGCAGAGTTGATTTTAGTGCCAACACTGGTTATATGTACATACGATGTATAGATTCGCTACAAGATTCGTGGGTAGTGTAACGCTAAACGAGAGAAATTAGCGAGCCACGTTCGAATACTGTCTCAGTTTGTTACGTTACCACAAATACACTTGGAAATGTATGAATCCATATCAGCTCTTCCCAACTATGGATTCAATGTGTCGACGTAAAAAAAATGCGTAATAAGTGAAATTCTAACCATATGTCACAGGTTGAACATATGCTTCGAATTTCAGTCATAACGCAACTGAAATGCTCGAGAAATTTCGTAGAAAATATGTGCTATTCCGACAGTTATCGAACCTTTAACCCTAATATGAAGCATCATTTGATCTAACGTGCTGTTAATCATTCAGCCACAAAGAAAGCTCTGGTTAGCATAGTCCGAATTACTGTTTATAAACACTCGCTTTCGACGATTTTTTGGTGGTCAGGTTATAATGATAACGGCTTTATGACAGTTCTCATAAGGGTTACAGGTTCGATTCCTGTCGGAGTACGCATATTTTCTAGGAAATTTCTCGAACATTCAGGCCGGTAAAATTAATACTGTTTAATTAAAAAAAAACAAAAACAAAACAAAACAAAAAAAAAAACAGTGCTTTTACTTAAAATAAATTATAGTGTAACCCGGATATAAGAGAGTTGTCGGGACCAGAGAAGAAGTCTCTTATATCCGGGTTTCTCTTATATCCGAGTATGGTCTATTTTGTTTAGGTAAGTGGGTATTCTCACGATATATATATATATATATATATATATATATATATATATATATATATATATATATAAAAAAGAACAGTAAGATATATAATCCGGTGTTCTTATAGATATTTTATTTTTTACAAAATAGTGCTCAATGTAAATTTACAGAGCATTAGTATTATAAATTAATTGATTTAAAAAATGTTTTTTACCTAAAAAAATAGTGGTGGGAAGAAGAGATGGATTCATGCTTTTTAAAGGGTTTTTGCCTGAAACACAACGAACTCGGTGGGCTGATTCTACTTTTCCGCATAAAATGGGCATGTATGTAGAGTAGCGGTTATCGGTGAGGAAAGGAAGGATAGCTGCCTAAATATACTATCTATCTATCTATCTATCTATCTATCTATCTATCTATCTATCTATCGTTGTTCGTATCTATCTATCTATCTATCTAGCTATCTATCTATCTATCTATCTATCTATCTATCGTTGTTCGTATCTATCTATCTATCTATCTATCTAACTATCTATCTATCTATTACGTTAAAACGTTTGAAGCTACCCTCAAAATGTGCGTGTGTGTGTGGGCGTGTGTGTGTGTATGTGTGTATGTGTGTAATATTATATTTTCTCTTTCTCTGGAAATGTATATATTTATTGCCGTATTTTCCTCGTCTTATTGTCGAAATTACCAATTTTATTCTTAGAAATGTATCGGTTTATTACTTACACAACAGTTCAAGAATTTGAAGCAACCCTCCAGAACTAGCATGGGATAAACTTGACAGAAGAGTGAAAAAAAAAAAATGAAAAGAAAAATAGCTCTTATAATCATTGAAAACAAAATGGAATCAACTATCAAACATTTTCAATGAATACCAAACATTTGTGCTGTAGTAATCAAGACTAAAGTCGGATATTTTGACGAGATCAAATTTTAATCATAACATCCTTTTGTTCTTTTTGCCATATTAAAATTCCTAATAAATATTATGTCTCAATTTTTTGTTACCATGAATAATAATTTTCTCTTATTTAAAGTACAAAACAACTACTTTTTGGGCTAATTTAAAAAATTACCATAAGTATCCTCAAACTTAGTAAAATATATATGTATATATAAAATACATATATAAAATATATATATATATATATATATATATATATATATAAAATGCTAGAACGCTTCCAGCAACTGAAAACTAAGGCAAATCCTTAACATCTCTTGGGAGAGCTACACCACCAACACGGAAGTGCTGGACAGAGGACAGAGCCTCAGTGAGCAGCGTCGAGGCCGCTATCATCTACCACCGCTTCCGCTGGGCAGGGCACGTCCACAGGATGGATCCTTCCAGGTTCCCCAAGAAAATCCTATATGGCGAGCTGGCCATTGGGACCAGACCACAAGGAGCACCCAAAATGCGCTACAAGGAACAACTAAAGCGCACCCTGACACTTACCAACATCAGCTCGCCCTCGTGGGAAGAAAATGCCAGGGATCGAACGACGTGGAGGAGATCAATACGCGATGGCATCGCAGACTTCGAGGAAAGGAGGAGGGAGAATGAAGAGGCAAGAAGACGAAGGAGAAAAGAGCGCTGTGAACGACCCCCCGTCCCCTCCCTCCCCTGTGGGCACTGTCCCCGACTATTCCACCACCGACTGAGCCTCGCAAGTCATGTCAAACATAAACATCAACCGTGAAGATAGGACTTAAAAAGATTGACAGAACCCGCTACTCGGACACGACTGGGAGCCGATGACGACGATATATATATATATATATATATATATATATATATATATATATATATATATATATAAAAGTGAACATTGATGTCAACACACAGAGGCGGCAGTCAGGCCTGAGGATTGTGCTTAAGCATGAAACAGACTGTTGCCTTTGGGTGTTGACTTCAATGTGCATTTTTATACTTACATACGCTCTATCTGTGATATTGAGCACTTAAACCAATAAATATAGCATGTCTTAAAACAATATTTTATCATTATATATACGTGATACGCACATTCTAGCTATGGAAGTATTTATACATATATTTACATACTTACACGTATCTGTGTGTGGATATGTATTTGTGTATGCGCGCGTATATGCGTGTAACAAATATACCTCTTAGAAATATACGCCTATTGAAAAAGGCTCACATCGGGATCATTATGGAAGATTTATCTTTAATTGGTTTATTTTGGTCCCGTCTAAAACGCTGACCGATAGTTCATAATTAAAACTGCTTTTAATGTAATTAATTTTAGCTTAATTAGGGAGGAGGTTGATTTGCCGGTCAAGGAGCAGTTAATGTCAAACTGAAGCAGCTTCGCCGCCAGAAACAGCATCGGTTGCATCGGCGTCATTGACAATGGTAGCGGGCCATAACTTCTTGTGAAATTTTAATTAAAATGAAAGCCACTTAAAGAAAACAGGAAGGTTGAAATTAAACTAACGTCAGTCGTTGAGTGTATAAATTCAGCGGCTGTACAGGTGAGCAGTTGCTGGAAATTTCTCTGTCGAAAAAGACGAGCTGGGTTATAATTCCGGTCAGTTATGATGCGTTCAGTTTCGCGAAAATGCGATTGCGACAATACATGTAGTCACGTGAAGTCATCTATTCTTTCTAGTCGAGCAGATATGCGGGGAAATAGCAGCCAGTGCCGGTAGAAAAAGCACGTGAAAAAGGACAGAAAGCAACGCAAAAACCAACCCACTAATAAAACTACTAATAATTTAAATTGAATAGTCGACCAATATTAAAGATGGTCCATATAGCAGAGTAAACTCGGTTATCTAGCGTTTTGTGAGCGCCAGTATAAAAGCACGGAAAACAGGGCAGAATACAACGCGAAACCACTTCACTAATAAAACTACTAATAATTTAAATTGAATAGTCGACCAATATTAAAGATGGTCCAACAACAGGATCCTTACTAACAAGTGTTGACAACAATTCAGAAGATTCTAGTGAAAGCACGAAAAAAAAAAAAAAAAAAAGGATGAATTCAAATTACAAAGAAAAATAAATGTAAAATATAAAATACTTAGGTTAAAATTGATATTTTATTAGGTTGGTGCAAAAATAATGACGGGTAATAATGTCGTTTTTGACGTTAAAAATACGTCAAAAAACGACATTATTACGTCATTATTTTTGCACCAACCTAATAGATCAGTCAGAGCCGAACTCTTCTTCCAATAACTGAAAGCAAAATCACAATGAGTATACCACGTGATTCTCTCTTTTATATTAGGGTCAACATCTGGTGGTGGTTTTCCTGTCGGTACAGGCTCTGTTTGGAGAGGAGCATCCGTATAAAATAACGCGTCATGCATCAGTCGACGTTTCAAAGATACTATATTTCATTATACATGCGCAGGAAACAAAATTGGGAAACGGGTTTCGAATATTGGCATCGGCAGCTTTGTATTCACTTTCCACTAATAGCAATAGAAAAGATATATATCCATATCCTTGCGTTCTGTCACATTAGCAGATATTGAAAAACGGTATCATATCATTGGTATACCAGGAGGGTTGGTAGCAATAATTTATAAGAGCGCGCCTGGGCAAACCACTCATTTGAAGTGCGGTTTGATCAAGCGCACTTTCAACACACACACACACACACACACACACACACACACACACACACACACACACACACTCACACACATATATATATATATAAGTATAGGATTGGTGTATACGGAATAAATTCCAATAACCAACAAATACTATTCTTAAAAGAGTGCTCAATACAGAGTTGAGCAAATATAATTTATTCGAGAATTATAACATAAATATCTTATAAAATCACTACAAAAAGAGCAATTTTGTTTCAACACTTCTGGCGTCTTATCAATTGATGGTGTTGAATATTTTGAATTTAGAATATTCTAGATTCAACACCATCACTTCGTAAGACACCAGTGTTGAAACAAAATTGCTATTTTTGTAGTGATTTTATAACATATGTATGTTATAATTCTCGAATAAATTATATTTGCTCAACTCTGTATTGAGCACTCTTTTAAGAATAGTATTTGTTGGTTATTGCTTTTCTTGTAATTTTATAACATGTTTATATTATAATTTTCGAATAAATTATATATATATATATATATATATATATATATATATATTTTAAAGAAAAACAGACTAATTTAAGGTTCCATTATAATAATTTATTTCAACAGAGCCCTTTTAAGGGACGCTGGATCATCAGATAATACGGATTACCAAGTTTTTCATAACTTAAATATATATATATATATATATATATATATATATATACTATACTAGAATGCTTTTACTTTTCTTCCCTATTGGACTATAAATATATGTTATAATACATTTGGCTCCAGAATCCATCCACATAGGCGATGCCTCTCCCATTCAGCTGGGAGCGGGAAGGTCAGTGTTGATCTCTAATCACTGAAGCCTCCTTGAGTGTAAATTCCGAGAAAGAACAAGTTTTCTTACTCAATTCTGTTTATTCAGGGTATTCCTGCTTTAGAGAAGGATGCATGTTTTCGACGGATTTATTTAATCAACAGCGAGATGATCCCAAGTGATCTAGACGTTCTACCAAAATTTTTATTGGTGGACATAATCTTGACAAAAAAAAAGAAAAAAAAGAAAGAAATTCTGGTGACACAGTATTGGTGGAACTGTAGACGAGGCAGTAAAGGAAAGCAGAAAGAAAGGACTATGCATCAATTGCAAAAATACCGAATGTAGTTAGCAAAAAGGACAGTCCAAAATTGCGAGATACGAATTGGAGACGTCAGAATCAAGGAAGTATAGAAATTGAAATGCCCGGTAAGTCTTTTACGCAGACGACGGAAAATGCGACGCAGAAATCCGAAGAGTTGTTGGAATATTTAAAGATACTTTCGAAAAAGTCTTAAGGAACGGTAAACAATTGTTAGAAACAAAGAAATGAGAAATGAACTGTTCTGCATTATCAGCGTTTCTATATGACAATGAATGCTGGACAATTTCTTCACAGAAAACGCAAAAAAACTTTGGGAAAAATATGAATCTTATTATGGGTTAAATAGCAGGAATTGTATCTAAAATATTGTTAATGCAATATTTATTAGCAAAGTGTTGATAAACCGTAAAAAACAGTTGTTCTGTGAAAGGATGCTAAGTTTACGATGGACGAGGAATTTTAAAAGAACATGGAAACAGAAAAAACGCACATTCATTTAGAATCAGAAAGAGATAATTAAAATTTATGTGATACATAATAGGGAAAGAAAGCTTGGGGAATTTGAGACTCAAAGGACATACGGAAGGCATGAAAGGAACACAGAAAAAAATCTATCTAACGAGCTTGTGTAAATGGATGGTACAACGAGCACTAGAAGGAACAGCAAGGGGACAAACGTTGCTTAGAGCAACAAAGGATAGGAAGTTGCGGAGAGCAATGATCCCCTACGTCCGCAAAAAGCAACGGGTCATTAAAGAAGAAAAAGAACTGTAAAGCAGACATGACTGAATAAGAAAGCAAAAATCAACATCATTCGGTGGTAAAAGTAAATTAATAGATTGAGTTGACCTGGAAAACAATATATATATATATATATATATATATATATATATATATATATATATTATAATGAATCATCCATACAAAAAATAAATTAGTAAAGTTAAAGATATAAAATGGCGAAGTCTTTTCGCTAACAAAATTTTAAAATGCATTAACCTACCAATCACTCGATGAATGTTATGATCCTTGTTATTTTAAAATTATAAGCTGTATAAGGTCTTTCGTAAATACGCAAGTACTTTCGACTGTGCATTCAGTCATCTTCAGCTTGTTATCGAAGAGATTTCGCCATTTTATATCATTAAATTTACTATTTTTTTTTGTATGAATGATTTATTGTAATATAAATTGAACTGCACCATATATATATATATATATATATATATATATATATATATATATATATATATATATATATGTAAAAGTCATTATCTTATTATCTTCAAATGTAGTCGAAATACATTTTTTAGAACCACAAAATTCAAACATGACCATCCAGGTTAGGGAATGAGATTCAGTTATTGTAAACAAAGAAATAAACATCAGCCAGATGATGAGCAGTTTGAAACTGGAAGGGTGTGATAATCTGGAGGATTATTTACACTTGTCTGAGAACAAAAAAATCATCAAGAAGGTGACTGTACCAATCCTTATAGGATTATTTGCAACAGCTGCTGCTCAAGACGGGAGACCCAGATTTCTCTAGTATTTTACCCACAGTTATAGGCACAAGAGATGGCATCTTACCTTCTCCAAGCGGATAGAGAGAACAGAACAAAAACTTTTCAAAATCTGAACGCTGGTCGCCGACCTTATTTTCCAATCTGATAAAAAAGCTACCCAAAACTGCTGACACACGAATAAAATAAGAAGTTTTCCTGGAGATTAAAAAAAAAAGTGAAGACGATATTCATAATCGTTGAAGTACAGTGAACGGCTCCAAACAACTTTTGCCAAAAAAGACATAAGATTTATCAGAGATTAGCGAAAGAACTGAGGTAATTCAGTCTGCTGTGCTGTTAAAGTTCTACGAGAAGAGACAAGAATTGGAAACTTTGGAGACATTACTTTCCTGATCCTTCACTTCTGTTGATGATCGTTGA